TAGGAACATCCAGGATGGACAAAGGTCATTGGATGGGGACTTGGGGTATCTGGAATGCCTCATTAGCATGGGGAAGCATTTCAGAAATCTCAGGTGCTAGCTGAACAGGTTTTGTCAGGAGAAAGGAAATTGATCCTGTAATCTAACTAAGGCTATGTGGCATTCCTCAGGTAGGGGGTTTGAATTCCCCAGACAAGGTCAGAGAAGGAGAAGACCCGCTAGTGAAAGAGAGTCTCCCATATTGCACTGAGCCCAGAGACTATCCGGTCATGGTGGACTTCTTCAACCTTAATTAGCAGTTTTCCCACATACATACATAAGCCACAAGCCCTCTGTGGGCAGGTAAGGCAGGTGCATCCCAGCATCTAGTACAGTCTAATAGTGTCACCAGGATGAATACAGCTTCACCTTTCAGAGGCCACATTTCCAAAGTGTACAGTCATGTCACTCTCGCACTAGAAGAAATCCAACTAAGCAAAATGTACCTCGTTCTCTGTGAATTGCAGGCTCAAGAGAGTTAAGTAATTTCAGCACCTAATACATTTGGGCTAGGGACATAGATCATAGCTCAGAGTGCTGGACTGCTTGCCTGGAGCACAAGGCCCTGGGTTCAACTCCTGACACTACAATGAATTAATTAATTAATTAATTAATGGAATGAATGAATAAATGAGAAAGAAAAATGAAGGAAAGACAGACAGACAGACAGACAGACAGACTACAGACAGACAAACTACTAGACACTAAACTCGTGTTTACAGACTTGTCCTCATGCCTACGTACACCTGCAGCCCAAGCCCTGATTTGGGGGATGTTTGTCCTCTGGTTGTTTTTGTGAGGATACACACGCACACAGATGTCAGAGTCACCCTCCAGCTGCTTTTTTTTTTTTTTTTTTTTTCGAGACAGGGTTTCTCTGTGTAGCCCTGGCTGTCCTGGAACTCACTCCATAGACCAGGCTGGCCTCGAACTCAGAAATCTGCCTTCCTCTGCCTCCCAAGTGCTGGGATTAAAGGCACGCACCACCACTACCCGGCTTTTTTTTTTTTTAAATACAGCATTTCTCACTGGCCTGGAGCTTTCCAATCAGGTTAGGCTGCCTAGTGAGCCCCAGGGACCCACCAATCTCTGCTCCCCTCGAGCTGGGATTGCAAGTGCACACCACCATGGCCAGCTTTTGCATCTGGTCTGGGGATTGAACTCGGGTCCTCATAGTTGCATGGCGAGCAGGTTACTATCTTCTCGACTTCTGATCCCAAAGACCAAGCCTAATAAATACTTGTGAATTCAGTGGTCTCTTCTGCTTGCTTTAATGTCACCCTTGCAGCCTTTGCTCACCTGCCTGCCCTGATGCAGCACCTGGCCGATAACTATAAACACTGGAAGACACTGGATGACCTCAAGTGCAAAAGTCTGAGACTTCCATCTGACAGCTAAAGTCAAGCCACAGAAGGGGACACTCTGATCTACAGAGGACACTGTGACTCTCAGAGTAGAACGAGCAAGAGGGTTTCCTTTACAATGGGAATGACAGGCGGACACTGAGGAGCTAGTGTTTAATGTCCGACCTGAATCATGCACGCCCCCAAATTTCATTTTCAGAAAGTTATGTTCCATCAATAAAAATATTTCTTTTGAATCACTTAGTGACAAAACAAGCCGCTTGGCAGCTTCTTCTGCCAAGCTGTTAGCCTGCGTGCCCTTGTAAAACACACGGAGCTGACAGATTTACTGAAGGTACAAGCAGGACACAAGGAGCAAAGACCTGTTGTCTGTGTGTCCATGGTCCTGATGGAGACCAGGTAGCTTAGCCAGGGCTCAGCTCAACTGTCACCAGAAACCTAACCACTGATGCTTAGCTCGACTACTTTCCTCGATGGCAAAAGGATGAAGATTTCCTAAACATCTTCTCTGAACAAACGTGAGAAAGAAGCTACTTGAAATGGGCAGAATGAGATTGTCAATAAACTAGTTAACACCACGGCTCCCATGGCTCCATGGTGGGTAGTATGATATCCAAGTGAGAACACAGTCTGGGCCTGCCGGCTGTCCCTTCGATGGGCATCAGCCACCCCTGGTGCCCCCTTTCCTCTGTGGAACCCACCTCTTGGAAGCCAACTGATAGGGAAGGAGTGGGATCCCAGTTAGGGGAGTCCTTGAGAGCCCCTTACTTCAGGCTCATCGACACAGCCACAAGTCAGAGTATCTATAAAGCCATTAAATCTGAATGCTCGTGGATAAGTTTTTTAAAAAAAAATTTAAGAGAAGAAAAATTTATATATATTTGCTGTTCAAAGATTTTTATTAAAATAATCTAAACGTCCTGGATCTTCACCCCTAGTTTGCTGGGCATTACCTGTCTGTCTGTATTTGGGGAGGAAATGGGGAAGTTTCAAGGTTCGGATATCTTTAATTTATACTTGAGGTCATGCCAATTGCTTTAATGATGTAATAAGGGACAGTGAGGAGTGTTAAGTATATCAGGACACAGGCATGGAGAGGCAGTAAATTCTATTTTACGCCATTACCTGTACACAGAAGCCCCTAAAGCACAAGGGCATATTTTTATACAACTTTTCACAAGGCTCTGTGCTCTGCATACGGTCAGACGAGATCTTCCCTCTTGTGATCAGCCATCCCTCCTCTGTGGTTATGAATATCACAAACCAAGTAGACAAAATACCTTACTTTTATTTTATCTGTACTCCATGATGCATTTTTAAGATGTATAGAAACTGAACTTGAGAGAATCAGTAGCTACATTTTTTTCCAAGTGAAGACTGGACCACAGAGTGTGCAGAAATCGGTACATGGGGAAGAAGAAGACAACTTATTGCTATGTAATGTGCCAATGGTTTTTTTCTATGTTTTGTACCAAAGTGTAAACATATATGACAATTCCATGCAAAGAAACGCATCTAAATTATTTTTGTTAGACGGTGAGAGGGCTTGCTTGGTCGGGGCAGGAGCTGGCTTTCTATTGTACTGCTGTGTTACCTACATGTGACGAAATGTTTTTGTGAAGTACTTGTAACTAAATTCTTACAGCCATTTTTCATTCCCAACAGCTGTTTTTATTTTCTCTCTTTGGCCTAAACTTTTCACAATTTCAAATTTGAGGTTTTAGTGTCTTTTATTTCATGAGTCTCCAACTTTGTTTCGGAACACTGGAGTCAGAGTGGCAGGCCCTCAGACACAAAAACAATCTCCTTAGGCTTTGGAAACCAGTCGGATCCAAGGGCAATCTTTTTCTGACCAGCAATCTTTCAGTTCCACTAGGTGAGGAACATTTATCAGGTACCTGACATTTTCTATATAAAACATTACAGCTTTCTCGGTGTTATGTTGAATCAATTTCACGTTAACTTCAAATGTTAATAACATGTGGATGTTGAATGCTCTGGACATCAGGTGCTGAAGCTTCCATATAACCTGCTTCTATTGGTGTAAATTTCAGAGATCTTCTGAGTTGCTAAGTGGCATATCCTTCCAATTTATTCAAACCATGGACTTTCAGGCAATGTTCATGCACCTCAGATAATTTCTATATGACACATATAAGCTATTGTAACTTGCTTGTGCTTACTATGACACCATGTGTTGAGAGGACCTATATTAACTTAGGAAAACATAAAGGCAAGAAAAGGCATGTCACTACTCTCCCACAGAGGGAAGTTAGTTTTAAAATACTATTATATGGACCAGAATGGTCCCTCCGTTTCAGGCACACCTCAGTCAGGGGTGGCTACCCTCCCCAGCAAAGGATAGGCAATTGGTACGATTGGCCCCTATTCAGCTTGAACAGCAGACAAAGCTGTGTTGCACGAATGCACCTAGAGACACAGCTCAAAGCAACACGGCACACAGTCCAGTGTCCATTACTGACAGTGGAGTGGGAATAGAGAAAACATGCCCGTAATATTTGTTGATGTCAGCTATCATTCTCTTCCTCTAAATTGCAAGCTCAAGTCTCAGGAACAGTCTATGTAGGACTACTGAACAGTGCAGGTACCTGTCCTAGCCACAGTCACCATCATCCTCCGTCTCCCTGACCTCAGGACGCTCACACCAGGTCTTACTGGGCTGGAGGCTGCCCTCTGAAAAACAATTGTTCTCATGGTGGGAAATTAGTCAGCTGGAGTGGACCAGCCATGCTTGACTAGGATCCTGTCTGCTCTTAAGACTGAAGCATGGCTTCTGCTCGACTTGAACAGATTACTACCACAAATCACGAATCCGAAACAGGTTAGGAAGCACATCAAAACAAAAAGAAAAAAAATCCCACGAACTATGAATTCTTTGTCTTATATCATTTAAGAAAACACCTTTACAAACCAATGGCCTAATATGAAGTTTTCAGAGAAAAAGCTAGTAAAGGGGAAAATCTGTCTACATAGCACAAGTCAAAGCCTTAAGTGAGTCTAAAATGAACTAGCCAAAGTGACGGGCAAGCCGATGAGTGGACGGTGCGTCTCCTGGCTGGCGGGTCCTTCCCTCATGCCATCTGCAGAGTGATGGTGACAAACCTGCCTCTTGTGCTGACTCCTCAGGTAACAATGGTTTGCTGGCTAAAGACCCTTGATCTTCTCATTTGCATCCTGCTGCTCCTAACTAAGCAGCTCACACTATAGCTCAATGCTATCTTTTCACATAAAGCTATTGTCATTGTGAACTCCAGCAGCAGGGACTGAGAACACTCTGGTTTTCCTAACATGGTCACCATGATGTCCGCTAGCCCTTCTCACTCTCCTCCTCTGGTCTCTGCCTTTAAGGCTGTTCCGTGATGACGATGGGCACTGGAGAGAGAGCTTACCTCCACAGGCCTTGGTTTCCGCATTGCTAACACTTTGGCACAGATCTCTCTATGATTTTAACACTACCAAGTCTTGACTGTAGACAGCTACGAAAGTTAGAACTGGTGAAAGCAAGAATTTAGAGCGTCCATCTAGGGAGTATAGTACGTGTGTGCACACACACAAATCTGTAGACGTACACTCACCTTGCCAGTCTTTAATAAGATTCTTTAATCAGCAGTTCAAGAATAATCCCCCCCCCCATTCGTACTGTGTGGAATACAGTTTACGTCTCAATGCCAAAAGTGAGAGTACTGTTATAAGGCTGGAGGAGCGAGGGAGATCGCCAAGCCTTAGTGGACGTTCAGGGAGCCGACCGGTGAAGCTGCTCTCAGCCATTTAGGGCAAAGGCACAGCAGAAGGACAGGGAAATTCAGCTACAGTTCCTGACTTGAAAAGAAGCTGTGCCTCCTTCCTAACCCAGGACGCATCCCAGGAACACTTGAAAATTATTCTGCCAATAAGGGATCAGGCCAGTTCATACTGAGAAAGAGTTGCTCAGATGATGCCTGTAGACCAGAGCACACAGGGATTTTAGTGGGCACGATTAAATATTTCTTCTTCAATGACTTAAATTGGTACCAAACAGAATCATTGTACTTAAAGAATAGAATTTTTGTTTTTTTGCTAATATTCAAGTTTGGTTCTATTGGACACCGATAGCTTCTGAGGAGCAGGAGAACTTGTAGCAGACAGGATATATGTCTCATGGCAAGTCTTAAACAGTCTCTAAAGGAGCCCCAAATAAAACTTGTAAATAATGTGTGACAACTTTACATTTATCTTTTTTTCTACTGCTTTGAGAGACAGAACACAGCACCCACCCGTCGCACAGCAGCAAGGCCATGTTGTGCTATGCTCTTGGGTGGACACATGCTGCCGACAGACAGAACTTCACAGGCAAGAAAACAGTATGGATCTACAGGATCGATGTGTTGGTGGTTTTCACAGTACCGAGCTGTACTGGATGTGCAGGGCTCTTGTGTGCACACTTGTCCAGCTCCTTCAAGTGGACTCTGGGTATAAGTCACCATTCTCTTCTAACTTCTGAAATAACTTTAAGCTGCGTAGTCCAGATTCTCGCTCTCCGTTTTTCCACAAAATAATGAGATGATCTGCAGAGCATGTCACCAGCCCATGATCCTCAAAGTACAGAAACATCTGTAAGGTAAGTCGAAACACTAATTTGAGACTGGTAAGAAGAGGCTGACACTAGGTTACCATGCACACTTGACTCGAATGTGGAGATTTCTTTGGATTTGAATGCAGACACGATTTCATTGTCTGATGAGAGACTTCCTTGGTTTTAACATCGGTGAGTCAGACCAGGGTCCTGTCCATGCTCCACCACCAGGCTGTATCCTGGTGCTCAGTCTAAGCTTAGTTTGGAGGTCACCACTCCCTGTCATATTAGCTCTCCCCAGTGCTGGGATTACAAGCACATGCCACCATGCCTAGTGAAAATTTTCCTCAAAATCTGTTGTTCCAATCAATATTTCATATTTCAGTGGATTTTGTTGACCACCTACAGAAGTATAGTAACGGCTACTTGTACAAAGTATATGCATTCTTAAATTTCATCTTCTGCATTTAAGACAGTCTAATTATTCACACATCGGCTTTAAGATTTGTCAGGCACAGGTCCTCTCACATTTGCGTTATGTACTAGAAGATGGCTACCAACAAAATGTCTTAATCCCAAGTTTCCTGAGATAAACACTGGCCTCAGCGATTTCTGTAAAGTCGAGATGCTGAGTCAGTGCACAGTGTTTACTGGGTGATGTCAGCTTACTTGAGGTCCCTACTGCGAAAACGAGGGCCAACAACTGGGGTACCAATGAAAGATTCTGTAATCCAACTGGGCACTGCACTGTGCCATACCACAGAAACTCAGAGCAGGAGAGACCCAGCGATTACACTAGGACCATGGAGAGAAGACTCTCATAAATGGAGAGGACGAGCTAGGGGAGGTAGAGGATACAGGCTAAGGGCAGAACGGAGAAAGGATGATGCTGTGGACGGCGAGAGGTGGCGTGTGAGAGAGAAACCTAGAACAAGGGCGCGGTCCTTTAATGACCCAGTGTAAGAAGGGAGGAGCCAGGGACAAGAGAGGTCAAAGATTAGGACTTACTGACAACTATGGAGTAAAAGGGAGAAATACAGGAGCAAAAATTCTCCGGACAATTGGAGCATCATTGGTTCGTGGGCAGAAGGGCGGGGCCAGGCATCGAGAGCGAGAACACAAAAGGCCTGAGGGTATTCAGGGCAGCACCTGCGAGCACCAGAGAGCCTGAATTTGCCAACGAAGCCAAAGATGCTTTTTAAAAAGTTTACATGCGAGATGGGAAGGCAGCTGAGTGACGGAGTGCCTGCCTGACATGTACGGCACGTGAAAGCCCTGGCGGACAGTGAAGAGACAAAGGAGCAAACACGGTCCAGAAAGTTCCAGAACCTTTCACTCATAGAATGATAAATGCGCCATCTCAAAGGTCTCTTCCGCTGCTTAAAACTTCTGATGGAGGGCTGGAGAGATGGCTGAACAGTTCTTCCAAAATGCATAGGCTCAATTCCCGGGACCTACACAACACCTCACAACCAGCTGTGACTTCAGTCCCTGAGGATTCAACACCCTCTCCTTGCCTTCGTGGGCACTACAGGGGAAATGGATTTCATATGCTCAGTGGGTTCCCATTACTTTAAAAATAAAGCTCAGACTCGTTGGTCTTGCTCTCTCAGGACTTCTCTCTGGCTAATGTCTGTGTATGGAAACCCAGTGGGTCAATCCAACCTGTCTGTTCTCTGCCACAGTGTAAGCACGAGCTATGCCTGTTGTCTAGCACAGTCCTGCTCACCGCCTGTGATCTGCACCAAGCCACTGAAGCCACAACAAAGGCAAAACCAAAGTACTATGCAACGTCACAGAGGACGGCAAAGACAAGCAAGCCACAGCCCCCCGGTAACAGCTCACGGCACCTTGGCTCTGTATCTGTGAATCTGGCATAACCTCTGAAGCTCATCTCAAATCCTCTGCCTCTGTGGACTTTTACGAGATATAGCAAGAAGTGTTTCTTCTAGCTGCCTTTTACCTGAGTCGATCATAAGTAGCCTTGACCAACAGCTCAGTTAGGTCTTTTTCCTTCCTCTCTACAGAGGTATAAAATCCAAGTGGACAAGGACTCCATTTTATAAAAATCTTCAATGGCCAGTGCAGCTGCTGCTTCTAGTTATGAATGCCCGCCCAAATTAAAAGTAATTTGTTCCTCACGGGGTAAAACCAGGAAGGACAATTCAGGAAACTATGATCCTTGGAACTAGAGTCTGCTGGCTTTTACCCTACACACATGCTTCCTCTGCTGATTGTTGTGTTACATATCCAAGGTTACTAACACTGGCCTGTTGTCAGCTCTCTCCTGTCATACGACAGCGAGTAAGCCCATCTTTAAACGAATACATCGCTTGTGTCCTCAGATCCTGTCTTGATGAAGGCCGGTCCTAACTACTTGTACCATCATTATCTTATTCTACATTCTTGTCTTGCAAAAACCGACAGCTGGGAGTGTGTGGGTCTTCTCTAGAGCAACTGAATTAAAAAGAAGCGTGACGCAAGAGCGGGAGCTGCCAGGACTGCATGCTACAGGAAGTGGTACCTCCACGGACGATGAGTGTCCGATCAGATCTCCAATGAGCTCCAGGGAACATGTGGTGATGTTTTCTTCCTGCTTCTTAACAGGCTGGCTGGCCTGTTTGTTTACTCTTCCAAATCCCCACATATTAAAAAATCCTACAAAAAGACAACCATTTCAGTCATTTCAAACCCCCCCCCTCTTTCCTCACAGGAAGACAAAGTGAATACAATCATGTCTCACACTTGGTTTGTCAAGGGCTGAGCTGACTGAGCTGATGGCACAGACATGCCGGGGTCTATGAATACATGATGTATCTGCCTAATTCTCCTAGCTCCTAGTCCCTACACTGCCCCTATCCATCCACTAGTGGCAGGAAAACAGAACTGGGATGCAAAAGAAGTAAACAGTCTTAACGGGTATGTATAATCACTGAAAATCATGGGACAAAGGCACTTCAGACCTATCACCAAAACACAGAGGAAAATCTGTGTATGGGAGTGTGTGTGCTTCCTGGTCATTTAGATTACTTGAAAGTCACAGTTTTCTCTCAAAATATAAAACTGTAATTGACTCAGTTGAAATAATGAAACAGTTTTATGCTGGGGCAAAAGTAAGATGCTTCCTGTAAATGTTTGGCTCCTTTACAGACTTCTGTATGGTGCCTGTGGTTCCTCGTTACCATCTTCTGTTTTCCTGTCAAATAAGATGAAAAAGGAAGTCGAGAAGAAAGGTGGGGGGGGAGAGAGAAGAGGAGAGAGGAAGGAGGCAGCAGGAGGGAGAGGAGCAGCTTTAGTGGAGGAGGGCGCACACCTGTTGGGACAGGCTCCGCGGCCAGTGGCTGTTTTTCACGGACCTCCCACATGCGCACAGCGCCATCTTCTGAGCACGAGATTAACTGCCTGTCGGAACAAAAGCCAGAGAGAAAAGGCCATAGGACCTCAGGGGTGCTCAGGGCTGAAACCGCCCCGAAACCACTACCACGGGGGCTTCCCCTGACTGTAGCCAGCTCTGGCGAGGCTGGTCATCACAGGTTAGCATGGCTAACAGCGTGAACTGGACACGTTTGCCAGCAAAGCACACCTCGCACTATGCGACACTGTTCAATGACATAAAATCATCACCGCCACTTCCTGTTTTTTATTTATAGGAGCTACACAGTGTCCTAAGCAGCCTCCCTCCCAGCCCCTTGTTCCTTCTCTTTCCACAGTGCCTCTCATCCTCCACACATGGAGGCATGGATAACACTGCTCTGGGACTTCATCACTATATCCTGAGCTGCCGAATCAACCCTCAACTCTGATTCTACCTATAAACATACACCACCATAAAAAGGAATGAGTTTATAGAAAATATAAAAAAAAAAATAGTACATTGTAAGTGACCTGGGTCTTTTACCTTACTAAATGATAATTTTAAATAAACCCTTTGTGCTTTTGTAAAATTTTGTCATATACTGCTACAGCTCTTCAGTTACAGTCAGTCACGGAACATTCTCTATTTGAAAAAGAACGCCAAGGTCAAGACATGGAGCCAGGTAATTTGGTCACTGCAGAAATTACGCCGGTGACCCTGGGAACCGTGACGTTCATCTTTGCAGAAGAGATGGGAACTGTACCTGTTTGGAAGTTTATCGATGTGTAGGATGTTGGAATCATGTGCTGTTTTCTGGCAGGCAATCACACGCTTCAATTGTAGGTTATACACATATAACCCCCTTCCAACTGCAGCAAATATATTCTGGGCGGGGAGGGGGGAAGAGTTCAGAAATCGGCATAAACCTCGACTTCACTACCCAGTGTGGCAGATTTTCTGCCCCTGTGTGCCATTAGAAAGCCCACGGTTACCTTCTTGGCCCTCAGACAAAAATTACAGTCCTGCCCTCTCAAGCCCCCAATGTCAAAGCCACCAAGAAAGGGTGAGCACCCTAAGCAAGCAGGAGGGAAGCCCAGTCCAGAAGGCTCTGCGGAGGGCAGCTCAGCCCTGCCTTGTCCTCTCTAGAGACCAGAGCATCGGAAGTGGTGGCTGCTACCCTGGGCCTGTGGCAGATGGTGTGGAGGTGCAGCCTGGGCTTCTGCAGAACACAGGGACCCTTGGGAATGTAGTCAGCTGCCTTCATCTGGAAATGTAGGCAAAATGACTTGTACCACACATCTTAAGCAAACAAAAGGCCTATAAACCACCTGAAGGAGTATTCTCTGCAGGGGCACTATCCTAAGGCCAGTTGAAGAATTATAGAAAAAAGACACTTTCCATCTTTAGAAAGTTCGTTTGCTAATGCTCATTTACTTCAGCCTTGCTAAGGTACAAAAGGAAAGCACTACTGTTACTTTCCAGATGGGCAAGTTAAAACTGAAGCAACTGAAGGGCTAAGATGGCTCAGTGGGTAAAGGTGCCTGCTACCAATTCTGATGACCTGCATTCCAATCCTGGGAGGAAGAAGAGAACTCCTGCAACTATCCAGACATCCACATGGGGTCATAGCATAACTGCACACATACACACACACACACGCACACGCACACGCACACGCACACACACACATACATGTACACACAAACATGCACACACACATGCACACATGCACAATACATACATGTACGCACAGACATGCACACACATGTGCACACATGCACACACACATGCGCACACATGCACATACATGCACACACACATGAAAATACACGCACACACATGCACATACATGCACACACAAACATGTACACATGCACATACACACATGTACCACACATGTGCACACACACAAGCATACACATGCATGCACACACATGAACACAAACACTTTTAAATTAAATAAAAGAGATGGAGGAAGACACTAGACCTTGACCTTCAGCCTCCAAACTCACACACGGTGCTGGCTGCACACCGCATGCAAAATACATAAACATGCACACACAACACACAGGAGTACATATATCACACATAGGCAACATGTACACACAACACTCAAACTCATGTGCATACACATGCACACACACAAGTGGCACAAAAAACAGTACAAAGAAACGCACTCTTGCTGACATTTCTAATAAAATGATAGCATGTGGAGATTAGGATAGAAAGCACAGGATGAAACGAAAGAAGGGTTTCCTTCAGTGCCTCGTGCAAAGGCTGTGCACACTGGAAAAATAACTCCCCTTTAACACATGAGGCTCTCTGAGCCACGGAGGGTGGAGGCTGAGATCAGGGCCACAGGCAGCAGTGTGTGGTGCTGGTTTACAGCATGCTTCAGAAGTCCTGCCAGGCCTAGGACTGCTCTCACCCAGGGGTTTTGGCCAGGATGCCTGCAACCTGGAAGGGAAACTTTTCTCCACGTTTTAACGAAACGTGTGGGTTTAATGTGTGGGTTTCTGGAAATACACCAGAATCTAAAGCAAATGAAACAGTAACCTCAAACACGACAAGATTACTTAATCCAGCCCAAATGAAGCCTGTAATTTGCATTCTAACAATGTCCTTACATGCAAGATTAGGCACAAGGATAAAAGTGCTTTTTAAAAATGAAAGTGGTAGAGTCTTTATAAGATCGCCAGGCCCTTTTAAAACCTGAAACCATAGGTAATAACCTTTCCATTGAGTTTTGTTTGATGTATGTGGTATGTGTGGGGTGGGGTAGGGGGTGTTTGTATGTGTGAAACAACATACAAAATACAACCCCCTATTGTTGTAGGGTATGTGTGTTCATCTGTGTGGTGTGGTGTGTTCATCTGTGTGGTGTGTAAGTATATGGTATGTTCGGTGTGTTTAGTGGGGGTATGGGGTGTTTGTGTGTGTGTGTATGCTATGCAGAGTGTGTGTGTGTGTGTGTGCTGTGCAGTGTGTGTAGTGTGTGTGTGCGCTGTGTAGTAAGTTTGTGTGTGTGTATAGTGTGTGTGTGTGTGTGTTCTCTCTACACTATGGATCCTGTCCATTGAACTTAGGTTATAAGTGCTTTTTCCCACTGAGCCCTCTCAACAGCCCAGAATCATGACTTTTTATATCTGATATATACGGCATTAAATATCAGGTACTAATTTTATTTGTAACAATTATAACTTATACTATCTACCTCTTCGTCGCATGTGAAGTGATTAATAGAAATGTCATTTTGCTTCTGACAGAGCTTTATTTCCTGCTGGGCATCCAGCTGTGGAGTCGGGCTCCAGAAGGTGCGCTCACAGGCCTGCACAGTCCAGTCCAGGGGGTCCCAGACGATCAGCTCTCCAACATGGGAGCCAGTGACGACACTTGTATCTAGGGAAAGTTCACAAATGCTTCATTACCCATCATGGTCTCTAGGCTAAAAATAAAAATGTGTGGGCTTCCCAATTGTACCTAGACAAGCTAATCAGAAAGATTAATGTGACAATATGAAGACCAGAGAGAGGCTAGTTCACTTACTTAAGAGAGAAAGTGCGGTTTGCGTCAATAAAAATACTATCTATAATGTTTGGTCATCTTTTGCAGGAATAAAACTAAAGAATCGTACCTAAAATGATATGCCAAAAACCTGTCAATAAAAACATGGAAGGTGTTTAGAGGAGTGGATGTAATAAGGTAAAGAGATCAAAGAGGAGAGTAGCTAAGGGACCGTAACAGAAGCGGGGTAGGGAAGACATGCCAGGAAATACCTGCTTGGCAGAGGGGCGGGGGAGGATCAAAAGTGGGGAGAACTCAAATGTCAAATGGCTCATTATATTCAATGCATACAGCACCCCCGGGAATTACTAAGGAAAATGAGCATGTGATAACATTTTTAACTACTTTAATAATCAAGGAAAATTTCAATGGCATGTAAATACAGGGAGAACCACGTGGGAGTCGGCATGTTTACACACCACTGATGTCTGAGTGCATTTGGTACAACCTGGTACAGTTATTTCCAGGATGCGTTTAATATGAGTCAAACTGTAAAATAGTAAACATATTGACTCACCAGTTCCATTTCAGGGACTTTATCCTGAGGGAAATGCATAACAATGTATATATAAAGTTGTAAGATATAATCTTAAGAATTTCAGGTCAACCTAAATATCCAGCTGCAGACTAAATACATAAATCAAACAACCATGAAATAAAACAGTATTAGCTATTGAAGATTAAGCTGTAAAAGTATATTTATATCGACATAGAACTATGTTCACACCATATTCTTACAAAATAGTAAACCATGCACATATGTACACATGCTCAGAACACACAGACAGATGAGCACTGGTGTTTGATATGAATCATGGCCGTCTTCAGTTAATTCCATTCCTAATGTTGCTTGCAATTGTCATATTTTTATTAGAACTATGTTTAACTTGTAAAATAATAAGCTTTAAAACTCTCAAATAGAGTTAAACACCTAGACAATTCATACATTGTCCATTTACTAGGCACTGTGCAAATGTAACTAAGAGTTACATTTTAGTGTAATTTATTTCTAGTCCTATGTATCTAAGGCAAGTCAGAACAGAACAGCACACTGAGTATAGAACCCAGATTATGATTCTGGCTGTTACTAGCCCAATGGACTCCAGGAAATCATTAACTTTTGTCAGTCTTGGATTCCTCATGCATTAAATGAGAACAATTATAGAAAACAAATAATAAATTTCTAGTTATTTTTAAAGCACATTCAATGTTATCTCTGAACCTCTGGTACTATTTTGAATCCTGTTAGTACTCTACATTAATGGTATTAAAACACATAGTGACTTACAATTTAGGAATACACAGGCAGATAACTATGACTTTATTATTCCTTTCATCAAATCACGATTGAAATCTGCCAAAGCCAGACAAACAATCTCTTAGAAATAAAAATCACTACCCGTCTTAGATATAAACATTATTTTATCTTAGTTTCAGGATCATATAGGTAGCTTATTGGTATCCACAGTTTACTGACACACTACAGAATTTGTGTGTGTGGAAATAAGTTTATCTCTGGTCTCAGGAGGAAACCAATTCTAGTTGTAACACTGTGGAAGTTTTGAGAACTTCAGCAGTACTAATCTTTCCATGACCCCCTCCGATTTCACTCAGCTACAGAAGAATCAGAGAAGCCACGGATGAGAAAGATGCTCCTTGACTCCAAATCCGGGTCTGTGGTCCACACAGAGCCGACCCTCGGAGAGCACGCGACTGCTCACTCTGTGGTTCTTTTACACAACGGAAACACAGCATCAGTGACCTCGTTGACCTTTTCCCAAAAACACAACAGTGGCGTTCATCCAAGCTCTAGTTTCTCCCTGTGTAATTACTTACATTTCCAGACAGGTCATTCAAAAAGCTCCACACCAAACAACTCAGTGCTATACCAACAGTGGATGTATCTCACCCTGTGGTATTGAAAGCCACCTGGGAAAAGCTCTCCTGGCATCCAGCTATCCAGACCTCACAAGCATTAACCCTTTGTGATCACCATACCATCAGCACAGGCAAGCAAAGGATTGAAATGGACACATAGGGCCCTTTGCCAGAAGACAGTAGCAACGTTGGCAGCTGTCTTGGGAAACCTGCCCGGGCATTCTGAGTGCTACAAGAAGTCTGGCACTTATCAAGAATATTTTAGGGTATTCAAGTATATCATTCCGAGGCTGCCCTGGGGCCACCTCACTAAAAATGCACTTCTTTTGTAAAGAGTGTGCGTGTGTGTGTGTGTGTGTGCGTGTGCATGCACATGCATGTGTTATATGTTGTATGTTGATGTGTATTCTGGAATGTGAGCCTCTCTCTGTACATGCATTTGGAGGTCAGAGGAGACGTTGGATCCCCTGAGCAACCCTCCACCTTATTCCCTCAAGACAGCAGCTATCACTGAACCTGGTGCTTGTTGGGTTTTGGCTTGGGTGGCAGCCAGCAAGTCTGAGTGACTTTCCTTTCTTCACTTTCACCCTCACTGCGGTTACAGAAACACACAGCTACATGTGGCTTTTGGTGTGAGTTCTGGGGAGCTGTTCTCATGCTTGCATAGAGCTCCTACCTACTGAGCTGTCTCTCCATGCCTTAAAAATACCAAACGGTCTGTCCTGAAAACGTGCATACAAGTAACATTATACAGACTTAGCAGGACATACTTACATACATGTTTACATTTGAGTACATGTATACATGTGTGTATGTGTCAACAACTGATAAAAAGGGGCCAGGAATTTTACAGAGAACAAGGAAGGATATATGAGAGGGTATGGAGGGAGGAACAGGAAGGGGGAAATGGTGTAATTATATTATAATCTGAAAATGTTTTTAAATTGTCTATCTAATCAATCTATCTATCTATCTATCTATCTATCTATCTATCTATCTATCTTTGTATTTTCAAGACAGGGTTTCTCTGTATACTAGAACTCTCTGTAGATCAGGCTGGCCTCAAACTCAGAAATCCCCCACTCCACCTCCTCAGTTCTGTGATTAAAGGGCTGGCAAGAAATGGGTTGTTTTATAAATATATTTCTGTTAGGATACGTAAGCCCAGTAACTGACCACCGGGATCAGGTGTGTGAGGGGAAAAAAGAAGCAGGGCAGCAAAAACTAAAAGAAAATAAAAAATTACAAGAAATTATACGCTTAACAGCATACAGCACAGCAAAAGCTGGAGCATAAAGCTATCTAAGGCTCATTCAGCAATAATCGGTCATCTCCACTGAAGGGACCATGATGTTTCAGTGATATCAGTACTCACCATGAAAATAAGACATAGATCTAGGCATAACCAACATGATGGGCCAGATCTGTCCTGTTTTCCTTAGACGTTCCAGGACTTCATCATGGTTCAGTGTTTCCCAGAAGGCTCAAAAGTTTTTTGTCCATGTAAGAGCTCAGTTTTTGAGCTACCATTCATGGATAGACAAAAAGGTGCCCAACCACCATTACTTCCAGCACCACAGATGATCTGAGCCTTGGAAAGACATGCACCTGGGTTTTAAAAGATGCTGGCTAACGAGGGGAAGATGCTGAAACTGGGGAGGATGCTGGTGCATCCAAAAATGGGACCAAATGGTAGAAGAAGACACACAAGCAAGTCTACGTTTGGGGTTCTCCATACTCCTTTTCACCCCATCTCATGTTTATACAACATATTCCTCCAACATCCTAGGTTTCCAGGGGCTCAGGTGCTATAACCCCTCCTGCTGTGTCAATATTCCCAGCACTCTTACATAGTCTGCTTGCTGTCTCCACCAGCACTGTCTGACTCACACAGATCACCCAGTTCAGTTCTGATGTCAGTCGTCCCTTATCTACAAGAACTAACTAAATGCCAACAGCCAGAGTCTGTGATCTCTCCTGATATCTGATGTCATACTCAATCACTGACATTGGTAGAGCCAGAGCCACTCGTTTAGAATGCTAGAATGCTACAAGCATTGGAATTCACAGCCTGTGATAAGCATCCCACAGCTACCAAGTAGTTCCTTGGGATAATCATGCCTTAGTATATTGCCCATGCCAAACTCTGAGGCTTGAGCCAGGCCCTCCTGACTCAAAGCTTAGCGTAAGAGATAATGACAATCTCCACTAATCTAAACTGCTATTTTAATAGTCATTCTGAAATACTGGAATGAGTTGGAAATTCTGAAACCCTACATAACACAAATATACACAATGAGCGTACCATTGATGTTAGCCAATGACAGAATGTTGTCCTGGTGATCAAGAAGGCGCTTGACTTCAATAATATCCCATTCCTGCAATTCTTCTGTGGGTGTTACAAGCCTAAAAATTACTGAAAGACAGTCATTTTACTACAATGTTCAAAGAATGGAAAATACTTTACTACTCAAAAAGTGTTAAATGTAAAATATATGTTGCACAGGAAAAAAAAAATCTCCAAAAAGAACCTATTTATACCAGCTTAGAGCATTTCTTCCAAAAAGTCTGTACGCAAACCCTAAGTCAGGGTTTCCTTCACCTTGCTTCCTTGATTGACTTCCAAACCTCACTACCAAACCGTGCCGCCTCCTCGGTCTCCACTGCATGTCAGGAATACCACTCAGTTCCTGCCCAGGCCAGTGACCAGCCACAGGCAACCCCTGCTCTGCCCCCGCCCCCTGCCCCCTGTCCCCCCCAGTCATTTCCACTATCAGTTCTCTCTACTCATGCGTCCAGGCCACTAAGCACTGCCACGAGATAAGCTACACATTCCTGGCCTTCAACTCAGTAAAGGCTTCAGCAGCTGCCAGGAAAAAAAAAAGCTGTTAAAAAAAAAAAAGAGCCAAAAGTGAAAATAACTTTTCATATTTTTGGTATATACTATTAAATTATAGCTTCTCTGAGAATATAGCTTTTAATTTCTTGACTATAGACATTGAATATGTTCTCTGACTTACTTCAAAAACGTTTGATGACTTCAAAAAATTTTAAACTATAAATCCTCATTTTAATCAACACTTAAAACCTAAAATCAAATCAAGTGGTTCTATCAACCAACATTTACAAAACATCTATGATATTCTAGGAGCTACGGCTACCAAATGTGAACAGGCCCAGTTACTGCTGCCAAATGCCCGGAGTCCACAGCAACCAGGAGACCCATGTACAGGCTGACATCAGTGTACACATGCTCTGATGACATCACTGTACACATGCTCTGATGACATCACTGTACACATGCTCTGATGA